TCCGTACCCCTGACATCGCAAACCTTGTGCTGTCATTTGGGAGAATTGGGATTTCTGGAGTGTGACATTTTCCATTCAGATGATTGGAGCTCCTGGGAGGGCTCCTGGGTTTCATTTTCGCTAGAGGGAGGGCAATCCGCAAACTGCAGAAAAACCAGATGAATGATGAACACAACTGGTTTCCTCACTTCTCACCCCAGAACTCCCGAACATCCCAGTGACAACACAGGTTCTCCACATCCCTGACATCGCACACCTAGTGTTTTCATTGGGATTGTGGTGGGTGCCTGGGAGAGGGAGAGAGAGAGAGAGAGAGAGAGAGAGAGCGAGAGAGAGAGAGAGAGAGAGAGAAAGAGAGCGAGAGAGAGAGAGAGAGAGAGAAAGAGAGAGAGAGAGATAGGCACACACAGACAGATAGCGAGAGAAAGTGAGAGGCACAACGAACTATAGAGAGAGGGGGAGAGAGAGAGTCATCTAACACAACGGCGTATATATAGAGAGATAGAGAAGAGAGGTAAAGAGGGAGAGAGACAGAGACAGACAGAGAGAGAGAGAGAACGAGAAAGTCAGAGGCGGAGCGAGAGAGAGAGAGAGAGAGAGAGAACGAGCGAGAGAGAACGAACGAGAGATAGAGAGAGACAGAGAGAAAAACAGAGAGAGAGAGAGAGAGAGAGAGATAGAGAGAGAGAGAGAGAGAGACGAGGAGGATGAGGAGGACCGCAAGAGCACCACCGTCGCTTGTGAATACTGGCCATAATGGGTGCGGGGAGGTGGGGGGATAGATGCGTATCTATATATATATATATGTATATGCATATGTCTATATATGTATGTATGTATATATATAGATGTTTATAACTTTCTATTTCTCCGCGTAAATGTACGGGTGTCTAGTGGCAAACAGCCCATCCGGCCTACTTGCTTGGCTTGCAGGTCAGAAGGGCCCTGGAGGCCTCTGCGGGTATCTCGAAAGGGGCCGAGAGGTGCCTCTCGGATGCGGCCTCGGGCTGTCCCGAGGCCTCGTGGAGGAGGAGGAGGAGGAGGAGGAGGAGGAGGAGGTAGGAGGAGGAGGAGGAGGAGGAGGAGGAGGAGAGGAGGAGGAGGAGCAGGAGGAGGAGGAGGAGGAGGAGGAGGGGAGGAGGAGGGGAGGAGGAGGAGGAGGAGGAGAGGAGGGGGAGGAGGAGAGGGTAGGGGAGGAGGAGGAGGAGGGAGGAGGAGGAGGAGGAGGAGGAGGAGGGAGGAGGAGAGGAGGTGGAGGAGGAGGAGGAGGAGGAGGGGCAATCTGGGGCCATCTCTTGGGCCTCTTGGGGGCCTTGGGCTCACTCCAGCGGCCTGGCCGTTCCGCCGACCCCCACGGGCGGAGCCCGAGCTTGCGACCCTTGTGGACGCTGTCGAGTGGCTCCCTCCTCCTTCCTCCTCCCTCCTCCTCCTACCTCCCTCCCCTTCTCCTCCTCCTCCTCTCCTCCTCCTCCCCTGCTCACTCCGCCTCCTCTCCTCCCTCCTCGTTCCTCCTCCTCCTCCTCCTCCTCCTCCTCCTCCTCCTCCTCCAACCCGCCACCGTGCCCGGGCTCTGGGCCAGGAGCCTCGCGGATGAGCACGACGGTCTCTCGGCGTGCCTCCCGGGGGCCTCTTGGAGGGCTCCTGGGGTGCACCTGGGAGGTTCCGTGGGGCCTCCTCGGGGGATTCCTGGGGGCGTGCCGGAGGCCTCCTGCGGCCTGTTGGGGCTGCCTCGGGGGCCCCTGTGGGGGCTTCGGGGCCATCTTGGGAGGCACGGCTCGACATATCGGTTCGTATATCCCCTCTTGGGCTCTCTCTTGGGGTCCTCCTCTTGGGGCTCTCTTGGGCCGTCTAGGGGGCACCTGGCCGTCTCAGGGCCCTCTTGGGCTGTCTTGGGGCCCTCCGGCGGGCCTCATCGGCGGTCTTGTGACGATCGTGGGGGCCCCTCGGCCAGTCTTAGATGCTGTCAGGACGCAACACGGGTGTGTAACAATGCACGTTTTATTGATATTCTCGGCGGTTCTCTCGGAACATTTTTGGGCCCTCTTGGGGGCCTTGTGAGCCGTCTTGAGATCATCTTGGGTGATCGTGGGGCTACTCTGGGCTGTCTCGACGCTCTCTTCGACTGTCTTGGCTTTCTGCCTGGGCCCTCTTGGGTCTTTTTGGATGCTCCGGAGGCCCCTGGGGTGCGTTGACGAGCTCGCACTCCCTCCCTTTCAAGCGGCACTTTGAACCCCGGGGGAGGGCCGAATGGGGCGGGAGACGGCCGGGTGCTCCACACGCCTCTTCACCCCGGGCAGGCGGGCGTCGGCGGATTCGTTTTTTTTTTTTTTTGTTCCCTGGGCTGCTGGAGGTCCCGGGGGTCGTAACTATGGGGGCGGAGGGCTCGAGACGTCGGTTGTCACCGCCCACCAAACCACCCCAACCCAACCCGAAGGCCGCGATTTGCCCTCCATTTCCAGTGTGGGGGGGGGGGTCGGGGAACATCGAAAAAACACGTGGAACTCGTACCCCCCCCCCAACCGGAAATTCGGGTCAAATTCGGGTCTTCGGGTTTGGTTTGGTCGGGGTGGTTTGGTATGTAGTCAGGTTGGAGTTGCTCCTCTTGGGCCCCTCGGGGGTTCCTCCCGGGGCCCTCTCGGGCTGCCTCGGGGCCCTCGTGGGCCGTCTTGCGAGAGGCCCTCTGGGGCTGTCCTGGGGCTCTCTCCGTGGCCTCTTGGGCCGCCCTGGGGCGATGCCAGGGGAGGGAGGGGAGGGAGGGGAGGGAGGGGAGGGAGGGGATGGGGGGGAGGGAGGGGAGGGAGGGGAGGGAGGGGAGGGAGGGGAGCTAGGTGCGCTCGCGTCATATCTGACGTCCTACCCCTCCCTCCCATCCCTTACCATGGCGCTGATTTTCTCTATCCGCGGACGCGTGTCGTAGCGGACCTGTGGCTCCGCGCGCGCGTGCGTAGTGGGTGGTGGTGCGCGTGCGTGCGTGCGTGCGTGGTGGTGGTGGTGGTGGTGTGGTGGTGCTGGTGGTGGTGGTGCTGGTGGTGGTGGTGCTGGTGGTGGTGGTGGTGGTGGTGGTGGTGGTGGTGGTGGTGGTGGTGGTGGTGGTGGTGGTGGTGGTGGTGCGGCGCGGTGGTGGCGGGCGGATGGGCGCGCGAGAAAGAGGCCCGCGCTGGGGCGAGAACGCCATCCTGAACGACGGAGGCCAAACACCGATCCGAAAATGAGGCCCACGCTGCAGCGGGAGCACGATTCGGAACGATTCGGGAGCAGAAATGAGGCCGGCGCCTCAGCGAGAGCAGCATTTTGAAAAAAAACGCAGGCGAAAACCCAACTTCCCGGGAATCCTGTGTGTAAAAAACAGTACGCGGGGGGGGGGGGGTCGGCCACTCCCAGCACGCCATCAGGGGAAGAGGGAGAGTAGTATTCATATTGAATATTTTTGGAGGGAGGGGAGGGAGGGGAGGGAGGGGAGGGAGGGGAGGGAGGCAAGCTAGGTGCGCTCGCGTCATATCTGACATCCTACCCCTCCCTCCCATCCCTTACCATGGCGCAGATCCCCTCTCTACTCGCACAGTCGGATGTCGAGCAGGGCAGTGATCCCGAAAGGGTACGCGATGCATTGTAGAGCACGGCGTGGCATGGCGTAGAAGAGCACCGCAAAGCGTAGTATCAATTTAGCATTGCATTGCATGCTGTGGCGTGGCACGGGAAATGACGCCAGCGCTGCAGCGGGAGCACGAGTCGGAACGAGCGGAAGCGCGGAAATGAGGCCGGCGCTGCAGCGGGAACACGATTCGGAACGAACGGGGCCCGAAAATGAGGCCGGCGCCTCAGCGAGAACAGCATTTTGAAAAACATGCAGGCAAAAACCCAGATCCGGGGAAACCTCTGTGTAAAAAAACAGTACGCGGGGGGGGGGGGGTCGGACACTCCCAGGCAGTCATCAGGGAAAGAGGGAAAGTAGTATTCATATTGCGTAATTGTGGAGGGGCCGATCTGGAGTTGGGGCCCGTCCCGGGACCTCTCGATAATCATCGGGGAGAGTCGCGTGAGAGGAGCGCCTGAGCGGCACGCGGCACGACCCCCACGAGCGCCCGGGATCGCCTGGGATCGCCTGGGGCCCCGCCTCCTTCCAGCCCCCCTGCCCCGCTTGCGTCCCCGACTCCTCGGCGTCCTCCCCCTCGCTGCCGCTCTGGCCCCCCCCCCTCTCCTCGCCCTCTCCGTCCCTCCTCTCCTCTCCTCTCCTCTCCTCTCCTCGCCCTTTCCTCGCCCTCTCCGTCCTCCCCCCCGCCCCTCTCCTCTCCTCGCCCTCTCCGTCCCTGCTCCTCTCGCGCTCTCCCCCTTGCGCCTGTCGCCTTCGTGTCCGCACTGGCCGCACGGGCATGCCTGCATCTGCAAGAGTGGTGCTCCCGCCGTCTCGACTCCACGGGGACCTTTTTTTTCCCCGTGGCGGTGACGGGCGTGACCAGGGGGATGGGTGAGGGGGGGAGGGGGCTGGTCATGTCTCGATTCGCGCAGTCGCCGTTTGGGAATGCTTAGGGATGGCTCATTCCCAGACGTCGCCGGCGCGAATCGCGATGTGACGGGGGGAGGGGTGGGTGGTGTGGGGGGGTGGGTGGGTGGGTGGGTGGGTGGGTGGGTGGGTGGGTGGGTGGGTGGGTGGGTGGGAGGAGGAGGAGGAGGAGAAGGAGGAGGAGGAGGAGGAGGAGGAGGAGGAGGAGAAGGATAGACACCGGGCCCACAGGAAGGCATGGGAGGGGGTGTGAGCTTAGTTCTGGCTCGATCGGGCCAGTCCTGCCCCCTTCCCTTAAGTCGGACACGCCCCTCTACAGGAGGAATATTCAAGAATAGTGCAAAAATAGTCTGTGGACGATCTTTTGACTATTTCAGATCATTCTTTTTTTCGTCCGAAATCCGCCCGTAGGGGGACATGCCAGCCCTGCCCCCTTCCCCCGCTCGCCCCTCCCTCGCCTCCCCCCGTTTCCCCCCTCTTGCCCGCTGGATCTGCCGAGGAGCTGCTCGGGGCGCTCGGGGAGCAGCAGTGGTCCGCCCGGTGGCGGTCCGACTCGGCGAAGGGCAAGAAGCCGAACTCTTGGTGGGGGGCACGCCAGCGCGACATGGAGCTCAGGACCGGCTCAGGGGCGGCCTGGCCCCATTTCGATCCGAGATTGACCCGCTTCGACATGTTGGGTTTCGGTGGGCTCGGTCCCCTTGAGATTCAGGAGGGGAAAAACACACACAGACACAATTAATCGTCGATTCCCCAGAAAGTATGGGAAAATATGGGAAGTGTGGGGGGAGACAGAAACCCAGATAATGTGGGAAAATATGGGGGATATTTTTATTTGTGTGCATTTATTTGTGTGTCCTGGGGCCCCTTCAATGTTGGGTTTCGGCGGGATCGGTCCCATGAGATTCCGATCCGTCGACGGCCCGATGCGGCCCGCTGCTTACCTGCACGGCGTGGCTGCGCACCCCGGCGCAGCCGATCCGATGCGATACCGAGATTCCTTCACGATATGCAGCGCTCCAACGCCTTGGCATCGCTCGGACGTGTGCATTTTTCCTTCGGCGAGAACCATCGAAGATCAGGAGAGGAAAAAACACAGACACAATTAATCGTCGATTCCCCAGAAAATATGGGAAAATATGGGAAGTTGGGGGGAAGACAGCAACCCAGAAAATATGGGAAAACATGGGGAATCTTTTTATTTGTGTGTATTTATTTTTGTGTCCTGAGGCCCCTTCAGAGGAGCATCCTTGATCATTTCGCGAAAAAACACGCACGAAACCGAAAAAAACCATGGCCAGAGCTGCAGGAGATGGACGTCCGAGCGATGGCCAGACGCACACTGCGGTCGGATCGGGCGGCGCGATAGGATTCGATTTCGACTCCGTGGCGGTGCGGCCCGCTCCGACGCACACGCCGATCCGATCCGAGCAGTCCGATGTGATCTCCCGGTTCTGGCCGGCCCGATCCCCGTTGCAATGCCGAAATTCCGGCGACCCGAGGCGACCCGATGTTTGCAGGGCGCTGCTGTGCATCCTGGCTCTCCTCCTCCTCCTCCTCCTCCTCCCGTTCTCCTCTTCCTCCTCCTCCTCCTCCTCCTCCCCCTCCCTCCTCTTCTTCTTCCGCCTCCTCCTCATCCTGGCTCGACCAGTCCGACTCGATTCTGGCTCCATGCCGATGTAGCCCTTTTCGACGCACAGCTCGACACGATGTGGCTTTCCTATCCGAAGTGACCTGATCTTGCATGACCGAACCCTGTGGGAAGCTGACCCCTTTCCGACGGTCAGGTGGGTGGTCATGGAAGGGGCTCGTCACGGAAGGGGATCGGCCTGCCCGTTCCCGATTAGCGGCGCGCACGAGGAGGTGACGCGAGTGCTGCATAGGCGGGGTGCTTCACAGGAGGCGCGGCTTTTCTCAGAGGGGCCCGCAGCTTCCAAGAAGGCCTCTGAGAGGCCAGGGGTGTCTTCGAGAGAAGGAGCCACCTGCCTTCTACGAAGACGTCCCTCGCAGGCTTTTCAGAACCCAGAACTTCACAGCCGTGTTTTTTCGCAGCGTCGACCCCCAGAGGTCTGGACCCATTCCCTGGGACCGGCTCTCCATCCCGAGCCGTTCTCTTGACGGCCCCAGGGGCGGTGTGAGAGCCTCTTGGGGACGAGAACCATCAAGCATTACCCGTCCTCTGCGTCGAGAAAATCCTGAATAGTCGTTAACTGAGTCAGCGGAGGAAGAGGTGGACGTGGAGGCCGAGTGGGGCGCCTTCAACGAAGCTGTGGAAAACGCAATCCGGTCCGCCCTGAGCCGGCTGGCGCGCGAGGCGGCTGAGGCAGGCAAGAAAGAGCAGGCGGCCGCGTTGAGGAAGCAGGCCGGGAGCCAGGGGAGGAAAGGAGGACGAGGGGAGCACTACTGGGCCCAGCTCACTGGGGCCGGCGAGGAGCAGCAGGGCACTTTCAAGGTGAGGAAGGCGCGGAGGTGGCTCGCGAGGGCCCACGAGGTACTACGACAACACGGGGCCCTCGGGCGGAAGTGGGGGCAGCGGGACGAGCACCAGAAGCTCATCAGGAGGGTGGGGGAGGGCGCGCGGCAGCCTGGTACAGGACTCGCGGAGCGGATCAAGCAAGCGGAGGAGGCCCTGAGGAAGGTAGAGGCAGCGCAGAAGGAGGAGCGACTGCAGCGCTGGAGGGACCGAATGGGGGCGGGCATCAAGGAGGTGGCGGCCTGGCTCCGGAGAAAACGGGAGCCTGCCACAGTCCCCGCGCTTCTGTGGCGGCAAACAACAGAGGACGAGGAGGACGAGGAAGAGGATGAGGAGGAGGAGAGCGGAGGAAATGACGCGAGGCCAGAGGCGGAAGCGAAGGCAGGTCGACCTGCGAAGGAGGAGGAGGAGGAGGGGGCGGCCGGAAAGGCCAAGCAGGGAGGTCGGCAACGCTTGGTCGCCGACACTTTGGAGGAGGCTTGCGCGGCGATCCGGGATCACTGGACGAAGGTCTGGGCGGCGCAGCGCGCAGCAGGGGGAGGAGGCGGCGACGAGGCGCAAGGAGGTGGTGGACTTCATGGCGGCAGAGTACCCGCCCGCCAGCAGCCAGGAGGAGTGGCGGGATCCGACCGTTGAGGAGGTAAACGCAACCATGCGGGCCGCCGGAGGCAGCGGGGGCGTGGACGGGTGGACCGGCCAGGAAGTAAAGTGGCTGCCCATCGGGGTGGCGGGCGCCTTCAGCCAGCTGGCGCTCAGGTGGCAGGCGGCCGGCGCCGTTCCTTCCGCGCTCAAGGAGACGAGGCAGGTCAACTTGGGCAAGCCGGGCAAGGTGAAAGAAGGCAGGCTTAAAGTGGAGGACACCAGGCCGATCAATGTCGAGAGTGTCTGGTGGAGGGTGTGGGCGTCGGCGTGGGTGAAGTCGGCGCCGGCAGCAGAGTGGCGGAGAAAGAATCTGCCTGCGGACGTCCTGGGAGGGGCGGGGTCCAAAGGGGCCGGGGAGGCGGCGGCGGACATCTGCGATGACCTTGCGCAGCAGGGCTTCGCGGGCACCCTGGACTACTCCCTGTGCTACGACCACATGCACCCCGAGGTCACCTGCGGGCTGATGGAGCGGGTGGGATGGCCGGCAGGGATAACGAGGCTGTGCCAGGAAATGTGGACTGGACAGAGGAGGTTGGTGGCGTGGAACGGCCACATCAGCCCCGACGTACTGGTGGCTAGCGACGCGCTGCCACAAGGAGATCCATTCGGCCCGCTGGCGCTGAACATATGGATGGGTGCAGGAACGAGGTGGGTGGCGACGCGCTGCGAGGAGGACGACCCGGCGAGCCTGGGCCCGGAGCCGCAGGAGGAGGGCGAGGCTAGGGCTCGAGGGCGAGAGGAGGTTGAGGGGCCCGACGAGGACGAGGCTGAAGCCGAGGAGGAAGGCGAGGAGACGCCAGAAGCAGAGGAGGAGGAGGAGAAGGAGGAAGAGGCGGCACCCGGAACAGACGAGGAAGCCAAAGAGGGCGAGGCGGCGACCGAGGAGAAGGAAGCGGCGCCGGAAGCAGACGAGGAGGATGAGGGGGGGGAAGAAAGGGCCGAGGAGGAAAAGGCGCCAGGCGCAGACGAGGAGGGCGAGGACGCCCGCGCTGCCGGTACGAGGCGGCGAGAGAGGAGGAGGGGGAGGAGGAGGCAAGGGAGGCCGAGGTCCACCATTTACATGGATGACCGCACGTGGACCGCCACGACGGCCCAGGAATGCATCCAGAGGGTTGGAGTGTGGCATGAGTGGAGCAGGCGGGTCGGCCTCCAGGAGAACCCGGGAGAGACGCAGTTGGTTGCGCGGGGCAACAAGGAGGAGCAGGAGCTACGGAGAGAGGCAGCGAGGCACGGGCTTGGGGAAGCAGTCAAGTCGGTGATGGAGGCGCTCGGGGTCGTGACGGTGGGGGCAAGGCCGCGTCCGCTCCAGGAGAAGGAGGCGAAGCGCGTCGACTCGGCGATGCAGGAGCTGCGCAGACTGCAAGGCCTGCCGGTGGGCAGAAGGTTGAGGCAGACGTATTGCAGGGCTTTTGGTTTGGCAAAGTGCACCTACGGGTGGATGGCGAGGACAATGCCCCTTGGGGTAGCCATGAAGATCTCGGCAGCTGTTCGACGAACAGCAGGAGGCTGCAGGATGGGGGCGGTGCCGATCCTAGCCATCCTGGAGGGGGGCACGCTGGCGACGGACGTGATCATTGGGGCCCGCCAAATGTCCATGCTGAGGAGGCGGTTGCTGAGGCGGCACAACGCCCCTCAGTATCGCCAGTGGACCAGGCAGCGCGGGACCCTGTGTGGCGCGGCCCGGGGGTGGTTGCGTCGCTTAGGGTGGGAGGAGGAAGCGCCCTGGCGGTGGTCCCATCCAGGGTTCGGAGGCTACGTCGACCTCGGGCGGCGCGCCACCATTGAGGAGGAGCTCCGAGGTGAAGACGTACGTGCCGCACTCATGCACGAGGTTCGAGAGGGCTGGAGGTGGTGGAACTGGGAACAGTTCAGGAAGATGCGGCGCAGGGACGCCGTGAGGATGGCAGCCACAAGGTACGATGAGGCAAGGGTGAGGCTGGCCAGGGAGGCGGTGACGGCGTCCACGCGGCGCCTGCATTTGATGTGCGGGGCGTTTCTCTCGCCCATGGCGGCGGCGCATGCAGGAGCACAGGGCCGCTGCAGGTGCATCTGGCCAGGGTGCGAGGAGGCGGTGCCGGACCAGGACCACATCATGTGGGCCTGCAGGAGGAGGCCGGGGGAGGCGCCAGCGCGGCCCCCGGAGGTGCTCCAGCAGAGGTGGGGCTGGCCCGGGTCAGGACCGCCAGGAGGACGCCAGGATCCTGCGCTACATGGAGGAGGTGGTGCAGAAGGTCTGGGACGACAGGTACCCGCAGAACGAGGCTAGGCGCGCGGCGCAGGAGAGGCTGAGGAGGGAGACTGGAAAGGAGGAGGCGCAGGAGGAGAGAGGGGAGGAGGTGCAGAGAGGAGCAGAGGAGGCGGCGCCGGAGGACGAGGAGACGGGCTGCAGGAGGAGAGAGCGCCCAGACGAGCCGCCGAGGAACCCTGAGGACCGAGGAAAGAGGAGGAGGAAGCAGGAGGCGGCCGCGGGCCGCCCAAAGCGGGCCCCCCCGGAGGGCGAGGCGGAGGCGCTGCGAGGGCGGTGGAAACAGGGCCGGCGGACCGGCGCGAGGCAGGACGAGGGAGGAGGGCGCCAGAAAAGAGACCGGCCCGAAGAAACTGAGGATGGAGGGCGGAGGAAGGCTGGCCGACGGGCCGGAGGAGGAGGCAAAAGAGGCCGGCCGGAGGGCCACTGCCAAGGGGACGAAGGTCCTAGGAGGAGACAGAGGAGGTAGAGGAGGAGGAGAAGGAGGGCGATTTGCACGGAGGGGACGTAGGAGGGCGAAGCGGGCGAGACCCGGGAGGAGGCTGGCGGAGGAGGAGGGCGACAAGCAAGGCGGAGGTTGAGGAGGGCGAGGAGGGCGAAGGCGAGGAAGAGGTGGCGAAGGCCCCGGCCCCAGGTGGCGCGCTCTTCCAAGAAGAGCTGGCCAGTGTTTCACGACAGGTTGTGGCACGCTCTTCCAAGAAGAGCCGGCCAGTGATTCACTGCAGGAGGGGTGGCCGGCCTTTGGCCACTTCTATGTCGTTGACTCCGACATCCGGGGCTTCGGCATGTACAATTTCATACATCGTTAACTGAGTCATTTTTGGATTTGTCGAAATGGTCAAGAATCGTGAGAAGTGGACAAAGATCTAGAAAACACGTGGGTAGTCGTCACGCATCGTCAGTGCGAGGAGATCTTGGAAGACCCCTCCCCCCGTGCGCCCCTCCCTAGTGCGCTGGTAAGGCTTCGGTTTGCGCACAGACAGCTGACGTGAAGTCGGGCACGTTCCTCTCCGGGAGGAAAAGTCCAGAATAGGAAAACATGATCAGGTAACGATTCTTTTCGTGCTCTTGTGGGTGTCGTTGATTCTTTTCTGGCTATTTCTCATTCTCCTCCAAAAAGTCCGCCTGCAGGAGGACATGCCCGACCTCAGCCTCGGGGGGCCCTTGCCGGGCCCTGGGGCTGTCAAAAAATGTGTCAGGATGAACATCGGGTGTTGCTAGAAGTGCCCCTGGCCCAGGGTGTCCTCAGCTTTTCGCTCCATTTTGGAGCCCCTGGGGTCCTCGGGGCCTCGTGAGGGGTGCCCTGGAGGCCGCCTGGGCCACCCGAGAATCCTGGGGGTGCCTTGGGCCAGGGGTACTCCTGGCAGCACCCGTGAACAGCCAGTCCCGGGGAAAGGGTCGAGGCCTCTGTGTGTCGACGCTGTGCACACGTCGGGGGGCTGGGAGATGCCCCCGAGGAGTCCGGGGCGGTCTCAACACTCCAACCCTGGGCGGCGGAACTCCCCAGGGCCCCCCGGACTACTTGGGGGGGCCTGTCGAGGCCAGCCGGGACTACATCCGGAGGTTGATAGGCGTCCTACCCTGACACGTCGATTAGCGAATTGGCCGTTTTCGGTTCGCGAGAGGGCGTCGCGGTCGTCATTTTGGCGGGTCCAGATCCGTCGGTTTGGGTCCTAGGCAGTTTTCACTAAAGGGTGGTTTACTAAAGGGAGGTTTGTCCACTGCCGAGACTACATGGTGGGGCCGTGTGTGCAAAGCCCGAAGCGTTACAGTTGTGCCCGCCACCATCAGGAGGGAGCCCGAGGCCAGCCTGGACGGGAAGCGGATGTCAGACCTGGCGGACTACCTCGACCGCGACGGGCCCAATTTCGTGTCCTCGCAGCGCTCGTCCCCTGGCGTTGAAGATGACCCCTTCGACGAGGTGCTTCTCTCTCTCTCTCTATCCCTCTCCTCACTTCGTCTCTTCCTGCCTCCTCGTATCAGGGGCAGCCTACCATTAGTTGCTGGCGTTCCGACTTTTCCACACCAGCGGTTTTCGCTCGGTTCCGTGGCCCCGAGACCAGCACAGGTCAACCCGGCTCAAAACATGCAGCAGAGAGGTGGTGTCCGCCCTTTTCGACGCACAGTCCAACTCGATCCGACGACCGGATTGGATGCTGATTGATCCTGCGCGCGTGTCCACCCCCTCTTGCAAACCGAACCCTTCCGTGACGACCACCTCCGAGACGTGGGCAGGTGGCCAGAGGGGGGCCTCGAGGGCAAGGTGGGTCGTCACGGAAGGGGCTCGTCACGGAAGGGGATCGGCCTGCCCGTTCCCGATTAGCGGCGCGCACGAGGAGGTGACGCGAGTGCTGCATAGGCGGGGTGCTTCACAGGAGGCGCGGCTTTTCTCAGAGGGGCCCGGAAGCTTCCAAGGAGGCCTCTGAGAGGCCAGGGGGGCCTTCGAGAGAAGGAGCCACCTGCCTTCTACGAAGACGTCCCTCGCAGGCTTTTCAGAACCCAGAACTTCACAGCCGTGTTTTTTCGCAGCGTCGACCCCCAGAGGTCTGGACCCATTCCCTGGGACCGGCTCTCCATCCCGAGCCGTTCTCTTGACGGCCCCAGGGGCGGTGTGAGAGCCTCTTGGGGGCCGAGAAGGGTGGCCTTCTAGAGCAGCCAGTTCCTCTTCTTCCCTCTCGCTCGTCGTCGTCGTCGTCGTCGTCGTCGTCGTCGCTCTTCGTCGTCGTCGTCGCTCTTCTTCGTCGTCGTCGTCTTCGTTGCTCGTCGTCGTGCGCGCGGACGCTGTGGTGTGGCGCCAGAACCTGCAGGCGGGGGGGGGTCGTTATTTATGCCCCCCCCCCTCCCCCCCCCATCACGGCGTCGCGAAGCCACGCGCACGCGAGGGGAGGCGGGAGGCGAGCGGGCCGCCGCGGAGGGGGCGGCTGGGCGCGGGGGGCACTCGCGCGCGGCGGGGATGGCGGCGAGCGCGCGGGGGCGGCCGGGCTGAGGGTCAGTGCCTGGCGGCTGTCGCGGGGCGGCAGTCACGACGCACCCGTGGGGGGGTGGTGGAGCCAGCAGGCAGCCACGCACAGCCGCGCAGCCTCCTCGGGCGTCCGCGGGCGGTCTCGCGCCGCGGCGTGCCACCGGGGGATGCGGGCCCGTCTCGGGTGGGCGGCAACGGTGGGGCAGCTGTCTCTCTGGACGCCCGAAACGGGCAGGGAAAGAATGGGCACAATGCTCAACAGCGGATCCTGTACATTTTGGACAGGACTCGCTGTCCACGCCGCCGCGGCCTGTGTCCATTCGAGACAGCAGGCCGCCTGCCCAACAGCGGCCGCTGTTGGTTTGGGACAGCATGTGCTGTTGGGCACTGTACCAATTTTTCCCGTACCCACTTCGGGCGTCCAGAGTCTCGGTGGCTGCGGTTTCTCGGCGGCGAGCCTCCCCTCTTGGGAGCGGTGGGCAGATTTGGGGCCTTCGGTTTGGGTCGGTACGGTGGTTTGGTGCTTTGGCGGATGATATCTTCCACTCCCCACCCTTGTCCAAAACCCTACCGCTCCTGCTTCTGCGCCGTCTCCAAATCCTCCTTCTCGTCATCCTGTTCTGCTCGGCGGCAAGCGAAGGTGTGAAGTGAGAAGGGGCATGCCTTCTCAGCAGGCTCGGAAGCCCCCTGGCCTTCTGAGAAGCTTAGGGAGACAAGAGAACGTCTCAGAAGGCGCGAGGGCTTCTGAGAGGTCCCGCCGCCTTCTGAGAAGGCCAACTCCTTCTCACTTCCCCCCCTCGCTCGCCGCCGATAATGTCGAAGACGGATATTGTGCTGCTTCGCTTGTTTTGTCTTGTCGGGAACGGGTCATGCATAACAAGTGTATGTTGTTGACAATTTTGGCAGTGCAGTTTTTGGCGCTGAAGGGGTCCTAAATGGCCCCTAAGCTGACACCGCTGGCTTAGACGGTGAAGTGAAGATGTACGTTCCTTCCCCCCGCGTCTATTGCCTCCCCGTTCCCGAACGGCTGCCAGCCACTTGAGCAGAAACCCTCGCAGGCGTCCTGAAGTGTACGCTGTCTTCCTGGCTCTCTGCTCCTCCCTCCGGCGAGGTGATCCGGGAGGACGTGGAGCAGCGCCGGGCAAGATTTCGGCACGTCGACCGGCGCAGCCTGGGGAGTCCGGACGACCCCGGGACCGCACCGAAGAAATTGAGGGCCGCTGTGTGGGAGGCAGACGAGATGTGGCGGCTGTACAAGAAGCGCATTGCGTTGGAGGACACGCCAGCTCGCTTTCCGACCTACAGGAAAGCCCACGACTGGGAGCAGCGGGTCCGAGAGGGCCGGGCGGGGCCGGGCGGAGCTCGGAGCGGGACCGAGACGAGTACACCTTCGGAGTCCCCTGACTCGAACGGTGATGACTTTTTCTCGCAGAAGCTCTGGAGCGAGATCCCCAGCATGTCCAGCGAGATGGTGGATTTGGCAGTGAAGCTGCGGCTGCCGCGGCCCAGTAGGGTCCAGAACAGGACCGCGAGAAGAGCAGGAGGAGGAGGAGGAGGAGGAGGAGGAGGAGGAGGACGACCAGTGTAAACCCAAGACGCATTGGAGTTGAAGTTCCGTCTTCATTGGACCCTACAAAATGTATCTCCACTGCTGCACGTGCCCCGTTGGAAGACAACCGTCTGATAATCCTCAACCGTGTCAAAACATAGCTTCTTACACTTCAACGCCGCCAATCAACTTGACTGTTTCTTCCAGCAAATCCGCGAATCAACGTGACGGTTGCGCCCTGACAGTCCTAAATCGTGCCGCAACAGCATTCGTGGGACGTCAACCGTAGACATCGGTTACACTGTTGTGAGCTTTGAAGAGGAATGTGCGCGGCGCGGAAGCGAGAGCCGAAATTCTTTACAAAAATGAGCCGTCTTACATCGGTGAATATCATGCGAACTTTCCAGACGAATGTGCGCGTCGCTAATAGGCGAGAGCCACACTTTGGAACCTACCCGCCTTCCATCCATGCGCGGCGTTAGGGCGAGGGGCACATCCGCCCGCTCTCCATCCGTGAAGCTGTTGGAAAGCCTTAGCTTCAGGATCATAATTTGTGAGGAAGTCTTAGGCGATTCGCCCGGCCCGCCCCACGGATACGATTCGTGGATCAACAGGGAGGAGCTGTTGAAAGGAAAAGGGATGACATGGGAGGAGGAGGAGGAGGAGGAAGAGGAGGAGGAGGAGGACGAACATGAGGAGGAGGAGGAGGAGGAGGAGGAGGAGGAGGAGGAGGAGGAGGATCGATCCCTTTGATCGTCGACATGGGCCGACAGCCCACCCCGCCCATGAATATGCGGATTCCTTATCAGGGGCCTGTCGCCGATCTGCCAGCGATGTATCGCTGACGCCAGCTGCACGTCTTCCCCCTGAGCGGGTCCGCCCCCCTCAACGTCGAGTCGGGCCTGTCCCTCTACAGGAGGAATATTCAAACATAGTCAAAACATAGGTCAGGGGACGATTTCTGATGTTTTTTTCACTAGTTTTGATGTTTTCTTTTTTGACTATTTGTAATTTCATTAAAAATTCGCCTGTGGGGGGACATGCCCGAACTAACCTTTAACGCTGGCCCTCAAGGACGTACAACACCCTGGCGACGGGAAAGAATGCCGTCATCGCTGATCACGCAGGCTCCGGGAAGACGCTCGCGTATCTGCTTCCGCTGCTGCAGAGGCATGTGATGCGCACCAACCCGGACGATCACAGGCCTTCAGAGCCCCGAATCATCAGCGGTAACTCGGGTCAGGGCTAACTCGGGTTCGTTTTTCGGGATTCCGAACCCGACTTACCCCGGACCCGACTTACCCCGGATAATTCGGGCGTCCAGAGCCACACATCATCAGGGGTAACTCGGGTCACGGCTAACTGGGGTTCCTTTTTCGGGAAGCCAAACCCGAGTTACCCTGGACCCGAGTTGCCCCGGAGAACTCGGGCGCCCAAGGCCTTGCCGCACGGAGAAGGGGGATCTGAGGGCGCGGGCCCCGAGGGAGTTTTTTCTTGGCCACTTTGGGAGGAGGAGGAGGCGGAGGAGGAGGAGGAGGAGGAGGAGGAGGAGGAGGAGGAGGAGGAGGAGAAGGGGGATCTGAGGGATCTGAGGGAGTTTTCTCTCGGCCACTTCGGGCGGCGGACCTGCCCCTGGACAAAACCAGATCCCGGCCCAGGCCCCGCTGCCCGCCGTCGCCGGGGGCCCCGCCTCCCCTCGCGCGCTCCCAGGCTGAAGCTGCTAGTGATTGCGCCCACCAGCGATCTGGCGAAGCAGATCCGCGACGTCGCCCGCGTCGTCTCCGTCAACGGCCCCCGGCAGTTTTGGGTGCACAGCTTCATCACCCACGAGAACGACCGCGACAGACAGCTCGGGCACATGGAGCACGGCGTCGACGTGGCCATTTTCACACCGGGGAGGCTTCGATGGTTTCTTTACAAGGAGAAGAAAGGCCTCTTGGACCTCAGTGCGGTCAAGGCGGTTGTGTTCGACGAGGCCGACCAGCTTCTGTCGGAGAATTGCGAGATAAAGGTCACAATCGACGACATCCGGCAGAAGGTGAGCACTGCCTCCACCCAGTGGAGGGGACGTGGGGGGGAATGGCGCAAATACGCCCCCTGAGATCCTTCAGTTAAGCGATCTGGCCCCTGAGCGTCTCCATGGCGACTGGGGAGGCGAGGATTACTGATCTGATGGGCTTCGGTGTCCTGGCATGCCTAAGTCCATCAGTTCAGTAATTCTCGCCTGCCAAGTCGCCATGGAGACACTTAGGGGCCAGATCGCTGAGCTGACGGATCTCAGGTGGTGTAGCAAAGAGTCATTACCCATCAAACCACCCCAACCCAACCCGAAGGGCCTAAGCGTCCTTCCATTCCCAATGGGGGGATCCTGGAATATTGAAGAACACGCTGATGGAACCCGATCGCCCCCAAAATCCCGAACTTTGGGTCTTCGGGTTGGGGTTGGGTCGTCTGGTAGGTAGTCGAAGAGAGGAGGAACATGATGGTAATTGTGATGTATAATTAGCCAGCGTGGACCCCAAACAGTGTATTTCTGTCAGTATACGGTGTGTATGCGAGGCAGTTTCTCTTGTGCAATATAGGTGGTGCAATCTGCGTGGTGCGTAATTTCTGCGGTGCAATCTCTGGTGTGCAATTAACTAGCCTGCTCCGCGCGCGCGGCCCTTTCCTATTCTCGTGCAAACAGCCCGCTTACCCACCCGCAACTTGGTTGCAAAACGATGAATCGGCGATTCCTATGGCTGCTTGGCGCTTGCTGGTGCATCGCCGCAGCCGCGCTTGCGTGCGCAGGTCCGCTCCTAGAGCGACCAGCTAGTCTGGAACGACCGACGCGTCCGCGGTGGCGCTGACCGCTGCGCACTTCCAGCGCGTCGTGCATGCCGCGTTGACGATCAGGCTTCGGGAGTCGGTGCCTGGAGCGGGCGCGGTGCAATGGCGACGTCGACAAGTGCAGACACGATGCTGATAGCAACTCTGGCTGTGACGACGAGGACGATGACGACGGCAATGCCGAACACGGCAGCGATGTTGATCACGCCGGAGACGATGAAGGTGTCCAAGTGTCGGTGATGAAGGTTTGTGGCGACTTCTGGGTTTTTGAAGAGTTCGCAAGATCGCGCGCACAGAGCGATTCGAACATTCATGTTGCAAAATCAGTGTTGTTACATGTGTTCGGGACGGTTATCAAAGCCCTCCGAGTCGAAGGCTTGGTTTTTGTAGGGTGTCGGCATACGTGTGCGACGACGCGCGCGTGTACACTCCGTCCGTTTTTGCTTTTGCAGATGATTCTTTTTGATGAGCGAATGCGCGCAGCATTATTTGACAGGGATGGCTGGGGGTGGGGTGGGTGGCGCCGGTTACCAGTTTGGCTGGGATGGTATGACTTCATACGGGAAATGAGCGAGGAGGCAGAAACATATCCGCATTTCAGCTCTCGAGCGTGAGGTGTTGAGTCTTGCCCTGGCGAGGTGGGCGAATTTGTTCTCTTTCAGAGAAGGGAATCTATGAGGTTCATCGAAATCCGATATTGCCCAACTCATGTGGTGCAGTCTAAACGGTGCGCAATCTATGCGGTGCAGCCGACGTGGCGCAATCTGACGGGCGCAATCCATGTAGAAAGAACGTGGAGTTGTCAACTCTCATAGTCGCGCAACCATCTCACCCGCCCACCCGCAATTTGGTTTGCCAGACCCATGTGGCGGCGACTACGATGAGTGCTTGGCGTTGGCTGGTGCGTCTCCGCAGCCTCGGTAGCCGCGAGTGCAGCGGCTGGCTAGTTTGGCGGGGTTGACGCGGTCGCGGTGGCGCTCGCCGCCTTGCACTTCCCAGCGGGCCGTTCAGTGCGAGTCGGCGACTTCGGCGGGCGCGGTATCATGGCAACGTCGACAACATTAGACGCGATGGTGATCGTTCTCGATGGTGGTGACGATGGCGACGATGGCGAATGCGACGCTAATGGCGGCGCCGATGCTGATCGCGCCAGTGACGATGACGATGCCCTCGCGTCGCTGCCGGAGATTCTTGGGCGGGGTTCGACGCGGGCGCGCTTCTGGCGCACGCGAGTGCCCCGCGTGGTACTATTGCGCAGGGGTCGTGCCCCCTCCCCCCAGCGCGCGCGCAGGGGCGCTCGTGTGATTTCGACATGCGGCGCGAGAGGCGCGTTCTGTCAAATTTTTCTTTAAGCGTTGACGGCCGCGCGTGGTCCTCCCCATGGGCCCCGGAGCGCGCGCAGGGTTTCTGGGCGAATATGTTATAACACATGTTGTTTTCACGTGTTTTCGGGGCACTGGATGTCGAAATCCTTGCGACGCCTGACATTTATTGAGTGATGTCGGCGCTCGCTCGCGTGGGCGCGCGATAGCGCTGTTATTCATCGCGCTCGCGCGCTCCTTGCGAGAAAGCGCGCGCAGGGGCGATCGAATGATTTCGACGTGCGCGCGCTGGAGGCGCGGTTGGCGGCGCGCGATGGCCACGATGAAACACCCATGGTGTTTCTCAGGACACGCCGGCGTGAGCGCGCCAACTGTGCTGGCGATGCCTGTTCCGACGCAGTTGTGCTAAGAAATGTTTCCGGCGCGCCCGGTATGTTAATTCATGCGACGCGTGCGGTTCCAGATGGATATCGGAGCGCGCGCGGGCGCTCGCGCAAGCTGTTTTTGGTGTCTTGTGGCAATAGATTCCTGGCAACTGATGGTGGAGGGCAAATGGGCGCGCGCGCGATGTGAGCGCGCGCGCTTCCTTTTGTAGTTGTTGTTGTTGTTGTTGTTGTTGTTTGTTTGTCTCTCTGTCTGTCTGTCTGTCTGTCTGTCTGTTTGTTTGTTTGTTTGTTTGTTTGTTTGTTTGTTTGTTTGTTCTTCTGAGGAAGGGGGGGGGGGGGGATGCGCGGCGGCCCGGGGTGGCGTGGGGCGCCGCAAGTAGGTTGCAACGCAATGGGCCGCTCGTTAAGTCTGGGAGGGGTGCGGGGCGCGGGTGGGTCTGAATACTCTTGTAGAAGGGTCCAATGGTCTATCGTGGGTGAACAAATCCACCGCTCGCGGAGTCGCGCCGCCCGCCCGCCCGCAACTTGGTTTGAAGAGCCCGCGAGGCGGCAATTGCGATGCCTGCTTGGCGCGGGCTAGCGCGTCGCTGCGGCCGCGCTAGCGCGCGCCGCTCCGCGCGCGGAGCTGCCGGCTATTCTGGCGCGACCGACGCGGCCGCGGCGGTGCTGGCCCATGGGGGGGGGGCCGGTGCGTCTCGCAGGCGGCGCTGGCGCGCGGGCAGTTCAGTGCGAGTCGGTGATTCGGGCGGGCGCAGTATCTTGGCGACGTCGACTGCGGCAGACGCGATGATGACTTCAGCGGCGCCGGCAACGGCGACGGCGATGGCGGCGGCCAGGCGAATGGCGGGGCCGATAGTGTCCACGCGTCGGTGATCGAAAGGTGCCGGGGGGATTCCGACGTGCTCGCGCGGTCAGCGGGCGCGAGTGGCGCGCGCGCGGTGGCGCGGGACTGGGCGCGCCCCCCCCCAGCGCCCAGCGGGATCAGTGAATGCGCTGTGGGAAATATACACCCGCAAGATGTGGCGTGCGCAACATGCGAGACATGTAGGTACAACGCCGACAAAAACATTCGTTTGCAATCGCGCGATCGGCGCCCCCCCCCCCCCCCGGCGCGCGCGCGAGGGCGTTGGGGTGTGATCTCGAGGTGGGCGCGCGACGGGCCCGTCTGGTCGTTATTTTTGACATCGTTAATCGACCGACGGTTCTCCGTGCGCTTTGGGAACGGCGCGTCGCGCGCAGTCTTTCTGGTTGAAAACTCAGTATTGCAAAACCGTGTGTTTGGTTTTACCGGGGTGCTCGATGTTGACCCCCTTGCGGCGCCTGAATGGTTTTTGAATGTTTTTGGCGCGCGCGCGGCGACGCGCGCGCGTGTCGCCTGGGATGATGCGATGTCAAAATTCGGATGGGCGTTCTGTGTAAGTAGCACTGTCAAGTTTTTTTTTGGGGGGGCGTTTCTTTCGGTGGGGTGGTGGATCCTAGTCTGGTTTGGGAGCGAGTTGTCGGCCCCTTTGAACGCGTTGCCATCCTGCCCGCCCGCCCGCGACTTGGCTCGCGCAACCGACGAGGCGGCGATAGCCATGCCTGTTTGGCGCTGGCCAGCGCGTCGCCTCGGCCGCGCTGGCGCGCGCGGGGTCGCGCGCTGAGCGGCCGGCTTGTTTTGCGCGACCGACGCGGCCGCGGTGGCGCTTGCCGCGGGGGGGTTCTTAGCTCGTCTCGCAGGCCGCGCTGGCGCGCGGGCGGGCGCGGCATCGTGGCGACGTCGACTAGGGCGGACGCGGTGATTGCAGCGATGCCGGTGCGACGATGGCGATGTCGACTGCGAGGCGAATGGCGGGGCCGATGCTGTTCGCGCCGATGGCGATGATGGCGCCCGCGCGTCCGCGATGCAGGTCCCGGGGGATTTGGGCGCGCGCGCGGCCGACGGGGGCGAGAGGCGCGCGCGGGATTATTTGGAGGGGAAAGCGCCCGCGCACGTGCGCGCAAGGGCGTTCGGACGACTATCGACATGCGAGGCGCGATTTGTCGCGCCGTCTGAAACAAATGATCATCGCGTGATTCTCTCCAACATTCGCAGGCGCGTGCAGTTTTTTGTTGACCTTTTACCTTGCGCGACCATCGGTTTTTATAGTTTGGTGGGGCGTTTGATTTTTGCATCCTTGCGACGCGCGCGGTCTCTGAAGGATTTCGGCATTCGCGCGCGACGACGCGCGCGAGTGTCCGAAATGTGCCGTCTTTTTTCTTGCAGTGAGTGAAAGGTACATGGGTGACCTTTGGGCGTCGAGAGTGCGCACGTATATGATGCTTTTGCGGGGGGTGAAGGGGCCGGTGCGAAGTCGCGCTGGGTATGAACGATGGGGTAGACTCAAATGTAAGTTGTTCATCCCCATGGCGGGCGGTTGATCCCGGGGGGGGGGGGGGGGCAGGTGGATGTTCGTTCATTTTTAGGAGAAGATTTGTTGTGCTGTCCATGTAGCGCAGTATTGGTGATTCCCCAATTAGTGCTTTTACCCGAGGGGCCCTAGCG